TCACTTGCTAAGTTCTTTTTTAAATTAGCTGGGGTTCGTAATTTCATCATACAGTGCTACAAGGCAATTATTACGTTGGTTTACTAGTTTCTTTCATATTACAATTTATTGGTGCTGTGTGCAACTGTCTTTTCTATCGTTACTAGCTGAAAATTCAAATTTACTGTGAGGTCTGCTTAAGCAATGACTTATTCATAAATTCGCTAGCCACTGTTCACACTTGTTGACACCGTATGTTCTTCTTAGAGTAAAAAGAATATTTAACTCACCGAACTTAGCGTTTTTGATGTAGCTTTGCGCTGCAACTGATGTTTTCTGTCTTCATTATTTAACGCTAACAGGCTTAGTAGAGTAACCCACATCTTTAATGCTTGATAGTTTGAAGTGGCTAACGATGCAATGACAGCGTGCCAGTTGTTCTTTATTTGTTCCTCCGTCTTCTTATACTTGATCGCTGTTTTAGGGCAGGTCTCAGATGCATAGGCCCGACAGCGAACAGGTCAGAACTAAGTCGCTTTCGCATCTGAACGTGCTCAACATGAGAAACAATCAAACACTGGTTGTGCCGAGGAGGAATCGACGACTTTTTCAAAACTGTGTATTTGCTTTTTATATTTTGCAAATGTGTTTCTTTATGCCCATGTTGCACAGGAAAACGCTGTCAGACGAGACATAGCGCGGCCCATTTCGCGTAGAGCAAGACCGCGTAAATTTGACTTAGAAAAAATCGACTTGAACGATATGCACGACGCGAAGAACATCAGCTCAGTGAAGAGTAAATCGGTGTTAGATTTCGAAATGTATGATACGATGAAGAATGATGTCTTGAAAGACGATCCGACGCGTAAGTGTAGCACAGTAATGTCCCTGCTCAGCAGCTACCTTGTCGTTGTCTTCGTAACTCAACTATCTGAATGTATTTAGAGGGGTTGAGAAAATATTGCCGTGATTTGTACGAAATTGAAATTGCGCTGAATCAGTTCGAGTGCACAAGAGCGATCCAGCTTTTATCACAACTGCCCGCCACCCTACAACTATCTCCATTCGGTTTGACGTCCGCCGGCAGGTCGTATTATGAGCAGGCAAATTATTCAAAAGTACGAAGCTGTACGTTATTATAACATTTAGCATATTTGGATGTTGACCCGTGTTTTACTGTTTCAAACGCATTTGTGCAACACTAAAGATTTTCAGCACAGCTTGACGGTGAATTAGCCGTTACTTTGGAACGTGCTCTGTTGCACACCGTGGTATGAATGAAATGATGGATATTCTTTATAGTTCTGTGAGGATAAATATCAGTCGATATTTAGTAAACTCGTATTATTTTTAATTTCTGGTACAAGAGGGTCTAAAAATGGCACGAGAGCTCGCTCCGGTAGGTTGAGCGGTGACGTGATGTTGCCCGCCACTCGCCAATGATGTCGTATTAAAGGCTCACAAAGGGCTCTGCTTCTCTGAACCCATTGAACTGGATGAATATTGGAAAGACGTTAGCAGTAGTGCATGAGGGTTCGAAATAAGCTGTCGAACGATTACTCGCCAAAAAAACCCTCAAAGAAAAGCCGAAACCGAGATAATGAATGCAGGCTGTTGCTTCGATCTGAGCAACACCTACGATTTGGTAAATCACTGAACGCGATTGACAAGTGGACCCGGAATGTCATCATAATCTTCGTAGCAGCCGTAATACCATCGACGTGTATATAATAAGCAAATGGAGAAGATAAAGGCTGACGTCATAGAGATATTCGAGACCCGAAGATTTACTGAATTTGTTGCGCAGTGTAGCAATGAGGATCAAGTGCTTCTCGAAGGGCTTCGAGAACCAAACTCAGGCTGGCGGCGTTGGGTTAGTGGTAAAGAATACTGTACGATTTGCAGTGATCTGCGACGTCATATCACCTCAAATAGTATTTCTGCTTGTAATGATGGACGACAGAAGATTACTATAGATAATCCAAGCATAAAACTCAACCCATCAAACTGAAGATGATGAAACTGAGCAGTTCTAGAAGAAATTGGAAAGCGCTATGCAGAGGAACGCTGCATACAGGATTATCCAGCGATGCTTCAGCACAGTCGTCAGAGAAAAAATGAACGACACGGGTGTTAATCGGTAAATGCGGAGAATGCGAGTCGAATGGTTATGCCATTTTCGCTGAAACAGCTGCCTCCTATCACGAACACCGTTATCCAGAAAGCTTTAAAGCGACCGTGTGTATTGAGAATCCCAGACGGCTAGTTTTTGAATCAAATCGACTACTTACTGATGAACTAGAAACGAATGTCTGTCCAGTCAGTCAGGCGGGAGCATAATCTTTACAGAGTCAGATCACAGATTTCTACGTTTCACAGTTACGATTAGTGTTTCACAAGGCGAGCACCTCAAAAGATTCCGTAGATCACCGCTATATGGAGGGCTAATATTTGATCCAGAGGCTTTCGGAAAGAAGCTGCCATACATCAGTAGACCTTGAAATTTACATAGCGTAGTATCATGCGGTTTATTTTGTTTGTCAGTGCCGTACAAACTGTCATTCGAACATGAAGCCTGACAGCAAAGTCAGTGAGAAATAGCACATCAGTGCTTCAACAAAGCAGCTATTCATTTAAATAGTTCAGCTGAAGGCGGGCGGGCTTACAACGTATACACTGCATTGTGCAAAGAGATACAGAAAATGTTAAAGGAAGACTACATGGTTACAGAAAAAGCGGCTGAGAGAGCCGGAAACCTGCCTGTGAAACGGAATATTCCCCAGGAACAGCAGATTTCGAATGCGCTGATAGTCAAGGAGGAGAAAGAGCTACTGTTCGCAAGAGGAATAACTCGATGTGCACCAGCTTACAACCTGTGCTCTGTCAGAGTAGGCGTGAACTTGAAGTTTACACATTCCTCTAGAAACCTTTCCTGAAATCACCTGGGACGAAGTTAAGTGGTTAGTCGGAACAAACAAAAAATGGCATATATCCAAGTAAATTCGATATAAAGTCAAAACGCCTTAAAACTGGAGGAGCAATCCTTTTTAAATCTATAGTCAAACCATTGATGAAATACACCAGGCAAAAGAAGACGCCTAAAGTGTGTGTAAGATATCAAGAACAGTTCTCCAAAGACATCAAATGTCGACCAGTTGCATTCGTTTCAAATTTACAGAGTCATCACTCGTATAACTCTGGCCTTGGAAGGACTTGAAACCCAATCAAACGTCGAGAACAAGTAGATTTTTGTACAGGGTTTTCCAGCAGCTGACGGAGAAGTGCAACGAATGGCAAGTGTCACTATTTTGTTTTCGTCGACTACGTGTTCGATCCGATTGAATTGACGAGTGTACTAAACGCCTCCGGCGAGCATGACAGATCTTGTTTACGTCATCCTGATCGAAGAAATGAACAGTGGTTACATGACTGATATCAAGCTGTTCGACAAACCATTTCTTATCAGGATCCATCTAGTAGTGTGTCAGTGAGACACTATCTAATTGGCGCTCTTCAGCTTGTGAGTCACTCATCACCAGCCTAACTGACATAGCAGTATCAATGTTGATGGAAAGCAACTAACTCTTGTTATTTGTGAACAACCGCATCTTCTTTGCCACGACATTGTGGATCTCCAATAGAAGATTCAGCATCTGCAGGAAGAACCTCTCCCTGCCCTCTCCTATCCAAGAAGAAATGAATGTTGGAACAAGTGCTGCCCGGAGGGCTCTGTGTACGTAAATGAAGAAGAACTCAAAGAGATCACCTGTCATTTATACTTGGGCTGTCACTTGGACCGCATGAACTCGTTAGCTGGAGGTATTAGCAGAAGAAGGAAGACGGCTTGGGTCAACCTTAACCTGTAAAACGTCGCTACTGGACAGTGAACTATCGATGCTGTCGAAAGAACAGAAGTAAGAGGGAATTTTGTAACGGTTGGAATGTCGGTCTTAACACTTTCGTAACAGTTTTTTTTTGAATGTAGAGTTGCAGCAGTCATGTGGCAAGCATGACCTGTAGTTTCCTATTTCCTTCCCATGAAGTGGTGTTCATCTACCAGCCTCAAAATGAAGACGGAACTTCTGCTTCAGGCTTATTCGCTCTACCAACTGAGCAACTCCTGTCTGAAGCAAAGTGTGGTAAATTTTTTGC